AGGTTTTCCTTAAATTACAGAACTAAGCAAGTGAGCTTTCTTGTGTTTTGTAGGGCTTACTGGCAAGTTTACTGAATTTTTGCTATTCTCACCTCTTAATACTGTGAGTGCAATTTCAATAGTTGACTGTCATCTTTGTAAATATAATAATTAGCATGCAGTGCAGTTGAAAATTCAGAGTAGTCAATCTGTTTATGTAGCACTTTCAGAAGAATTATATCTAGAATTATTGAGATAATTTATGTAAATAGAAACAGAGGTCTGTCTGTAGTGTATTCCTCTTATATCCTGCTATTTTTAATCCATTCAAAACCTCACCAAACATTAGGACTGTACCGTCCAAATGATGGGAATAAGCTCTGTGTAGGTTAAGTAGGGTTTATTCAGCAGTATTCAATTTTGGAATATAAAACAGGACAAGGGAATAGCAATCCTTCCCCAGGAAACTTCTCATGCTTTCTGTGTCTATGGTTCTTGGAGTTAGGGAACCCCAGGTGATGTGCCTGTGTCCACAAGAACCTCTTTTCCTTTTCTCCAATTCATTTCTTGCAGCCATGTAAATTATTGGTGTCCACAGTGTCCTTCAGTTTAACAAGAGGTTGCTTCTGGGTTTTAAACTCCTGACGAATGATTTTCTTTTCTACTTCCTTGTATAGAAACAGCGAGAACTACTTGTTTGAGTTCCCTCACTTGGGTTTTGTACACATGCATCATGGTCCTGCCCTGCACTTATGCCTCATTTTATCTTTTTTTGGAAGTGTTAGCTCTGGATACACAAGCAGTGTAGCCTTCTCAGAGCACACATGCATGAACTGTTTTTGAACTAGATTTGCCTGGTATTGGCATGTCTTTGTTGTATTCAGAGGTACAGCCCTCAGCTTCCTGGATTTGTCCAGAACCTCTGCAATGGAACTGTAAATTTGAGCCACCTTGTCTTTTGCAGTTTTGGGATGGAGAATATAAAAATTTCTGACTTCAATGAGAGAAGTTTTGTATTTTTACCTCTCCTGATTATGGCATGATCAGCTGTGGCTGCTTCATCCATATTTCCTCTCTCTGTTTACATAACCACTTTAATGCCATATATCAACTTTTTCAGGAGTTTTTTAACACTGTGGAATGTTTTTTTCTCTAGGTATTAAACATTTGTTTCCAGTGATTTAAAGAGAATGCAAAGTGTACTGAATACATAACTGGAGGAAGACCAATTAAGAATCAAGAACTTCCCCTGTGTGCAGTTTACGTCTGTACATTTTATAGAGAGCTTAATGTTAGTGCCAGGCTGCTGAGTATCATCAGACATTTTTGTGAACTCAGGATATAATAGCATATTTTCAATAAAATCAAATGCACCCAAAGTACCTGTTAGTGTAAGAATTTTCTCACATATAACCTTGTTAAATATTAATGCAAAGACTTTTGCCATTGCACGTTTTTACCCATAATTTCTTTAATTTGGTGTTACGTAGTTTTTTGCATAATTTAAATGTAGACATCTGAACGTTATGCTGGCTAAGTAAACTGTCATGTTTTTTACTGAAAATGTCTGCACAGTGTATTCTCAGGACTGTGTGCCAGCAGCTAACTTAAATAAAAGAATTGCGTTTTTGCACTGGAAAGGGTGACAAAAATTAAACTCCTCCCAGAAGTTCTGTTCATTGAAAGGACAGTGCACTAATTACATTCTCTCTTTGCTGTGTGCTGGGCCAGTAGCAGCATAATGTTTCCCTCTACTGGTAGATTGGTCAAGAAATGTTGAAATGTCTTTTGGACTTACTTTCTTTTTTAATTTAATTAAATATCTTATTGGCCAAAAATAGTTGATTTTTGTGGTTCCATTTTTGTGTGTATATTTAAAGAAATCCATTTGAAGAAATCCTGTGTGTCATAGGGGTGGTCTTTATCATGGGTAGTTTTGTATGGTGACAATGAACTCTGTGGCTCAAGTAAGTACTTTACACAAAGGTTTTGTTGTTAAACTACCAGATCATATCTTAGCTGCCAGCTCAGAGGTGCCACTGCATCAGTTAATACAGCAAACTTAATACATCAGTGCAGAAGGGATGAGATTTCACAGTAGCTTTTATATCTCTCACAGAAATGTTAGTGAATTAACTGTATCAGGATCTTTCTGTCTGCTGAGTCAGAGCTCAATTCAAAGAGACCAGAATTTAAATATATAATTCCCTTACTTTAACTTTGACTCAAGGATGTGTTTTTTTGTGTACTGACTCAGAATTTATTTTCTGAGTTTCTACTCTTCATATGACTTCATTTGATCTGGCAGCTTCCAAAGAAGAAACCCTTTTCTTATTCTTCACACAGTAGCCATTTATATCATCTGGAGTACTCCTTTGTGGATAATACTTGGCTTGCTTTATTTTCCACAGGTTATGAACACATCTTAAATACTGAGGGAGCATGTGTACATTTTTCTGTTCAAGGAGAATTCAAGCTAAGATGAATGTTGTACATTCAACTTTCTTAAACTGTACCTTGAGTTTTTAATAAATTTTCTGAATTAGTATTTTTTTAATAGGGACAGTGACCTTTCCTGCTCTTGTCATTTGACTTATGGATTCACTGCTTCTTAACACTGTTGCACACATGAAAGTGAATCAAATAATGGATTAAACTTAATATTTGCCTTATAATAGCTTACAGATCTTCAATTTATTTCAAAAGAGGACTGTGCCTCTTCAGAAACATCCTTTCTATGCTGTTGAGGTTGAAAGAGGTGCAATTTGGCTACTTCTTTCTGGCCTTTTCCTCCTCTTTCCCTCACAATGATAGAACAGAGTAATAAAGATCTGTTGTTGGTGACGTTTCTGTGATTTCATTTTGGGGCAAAAGTGCATGGTTTGGTGGTGGAGGTATCCTTGCAGAAGCTTTACAATCTGGAATTAAATTTTAAGCTATAAGCGATTAAAGTTTAGGAGTCATTTCAGGTGTCTGATTAAGATTCAGAATTTTTAGTAGATCGTATCTGAAGACAACAGCTAATTTTGAGCCTGTATTAAAGAAAAAAAATATTATAGTTAATCACAGCTACTGTCTGCTGCATTTATTATAAGACTTCCATTAACAGGATGCATTCTGTGCATGAATGGTAGTCATTTACAAAATAAGGCTTTAGAAACTCAATTAATTTGTGTTCTTTAATTTTAGATCTGAATAAATAAGCAACCCATCTGTTTTAAATCACAATTATATATGATTAATTTCTGATTATAGTAAAAACTTGTTAAATATTAAAAGACTGGAAAATGAAGAATCATTTTGTTTCTTTATTCTTAATGATTTGTGAGCTATTTTTTCTCAGCCAGTGATAATTTCTTTTTCTCCTGGGATGTCTGTTTTTCCCTCAGTCAGGGATGTTGGCAAGTGCTTTGTTGTGCTGGGGAAAAAAAGTTCAACTTTTAATATTTTATCAATTCCATTGGGCTGAGGGTGCCAGAAGTTGTGTAACCCATCACCAGTTCTCAGGGTCTTAAGTCTTCACCCTCGTCCTATGAGAACATTATAATTTATGTATAACAGGAGATGCTACTCAATAAATAATATGTGATAGGTATTTTTTACTGAAATTACATGAACAATTAATTAAGCTGTATTTTTTTCTTTATGACGTGACACTTTTATAATATCAGGGAATATCTGGGTGCAGTTTGAATGTCAGAGAGCTGCAGGGCAACATGAATCACAGCTTCTTTCTTTCTTCCTGGATGCTGGAGAACTTTTTAATTCATCCATGACCAGACTAAGATTTCCCAGTTTTGCTTTGGAGTGTCTTATATGTCATCTTGTCTTGCACAGATGTATCCATACTTGGAATTTTTTAGTCAGTATCAATATTGACAATGTTTTGTACTGTGCAGGGAAATGAGATCTTACATCTGTTTTCTTCCTTTAAACTTGCAAGTTGCTGTACTTGGGAAAACACATATAACAATCTATCTGTTGTTTTCTTCTTACAAACAGTGTGGTGTCTTGGTTGGCTCTGGAGAAGGCATATTGATGACTTGGAAAAGTAGTCGTCATGCAGCTGTCAGAAAACTTATTTTCCATGTTTACTAGCACTGGGAGAGAAGTGTGCTCCTTATAATACACAGAAGCAATACTTGCTGACGTTGCCTCTCCTTCATGGATTGTCAGGGCTTAGCTCTTTTATGTAGAAAAACACATTCATCTTGAAAGAAGGTGTGTGTGTACACATTCACAGTCTCTGCTGCTGTTATATTCCAGGCCCAGAAGCCAATAGGATTTTGTTTCAACTTGGAAAACAAACTTTATAAATACTAAAACTTATTTCAAAACTATGATTAATTTTTCATTTGTTGCATAGACTGTTTGTTCTGTACTACATCATACAGTACTTATCCAAGGTTGAAGTCTCCCACTTGTAGCTGAGTGATGCTTCATCCTATAGATTGCTGTACAATGTGGCCCAAAGGAATTTTGAAGAACTGAAATTATGTGCTGCAAATATTTCTTACATTTATTTACTTTTGGCAGTGCTTCCCTTATATTGGATGATATTTTAACTGCTTAGGTTTACCGAGTTTTCAGGTGTCTGGGATTTTTATTGTGCAAGTTTTGGCTTATTTAAAGAGAGTTTCCAGTTTTCTGTTCTTTAGCTGTACTGAATTCTGAGCAGTTTTAAATTTTCCTTACCATTATGCAAGGTGGTACATAGCTTGCTTTTAAACAACTTTGCTTTGTTACACTCTCAATTGATCTTCCTTATCTGGTATAATTCAGCTGTTTGTCTGGTTTCTTTCAAATAACACCTTCACAAATTTCCTGAACAGCGAGCCTGGAATGCTTAATGGTAATAAAAAAGTCACATTTAAAATGTAAACCAAAAAAAATTGTAAAAAATCTGCTCTTTTTTTTTTATATATGATATTACAGAGAAGTTATAGTAAATGTGATTTAGAAAGAGAAGGAAGAGGGGTATTTCTTGAACATCCTAATAAATAGACTTTTGTCCTTTACAGGAACAAACCTTGGCTCTGAGGAAAGAAGGGATAGGTGTTGTCTTAGATTCTGAACTGCCTCATCTCATTGGCATTGATGATGATCTTCTCAGTACTGGTATCATCTTGTACCACCTGAAGGTAAATACACATCTGTGTTTCCATAGCCTTTTTATGCCTTGTGTTTTTCTTCAGTAGAAAAATTCTATTGATTTGCTGTCTAAATATAGTGCTCATTACATTACTATTGTAAGAAAAGCTCCTTATGTTTCTCTGATGTAGTAAGAAGAGCTCTTAAGAGGTTGCAATTGATTAAATTAAAATATTTGTTAATTTCCTGTTAGGTTTATCCTGAGGATCAACTGGTTAACCAGAGATAGGTGTTAATGTATTTTTACCTGTGTATATTAGTTTGTCATTCATCTCATTAGAAAGCTTGACTTTGAAATCCAAATCTAGATCAATTGTCTCAAAACTTTGAAGGTGGTTCTGCACAGGACAGTTGAAACTAGAATTTGCTAATAATACTGTATTATAATGACTCATAAGCATTTCTAAAAATGCTACCTGATTATTTTTTGCATGTATGTTAAATATGTATTTCATTCAATTTACTCTGAGAAAGTGGAAGGATAAATTATATCCTTGTGGGGGAAAATAATCTGTGTTTCTCTCTTAATTAGGAGGGCCAAACATATGTTGGCAGAGAAGATGCTATGGCAGAACAGGATATTGGTATGGAATTTAGCATTTTTTATATTCTTTCTTCAGTTGTTTTTCCTTCTTCCAACTTCCCAATATGTGAACTAAGGTTCATATTTTTCCCTTTTTCACTTAGTTGTTGTGTGTTATTGCGTATTTAATTTTAGCAAATCTGGGAGATGAATTACGTGGTATTTGCTTCAAAGAGTGTGACTTCTAGAATAGCTTGTGGGCTTAAAATTTATTCATATACTTGTTACTAATTTATTTCTTGCTTCTCATGAAATAGCATCCTGCAAAAATACCATCCTTTTTCATACAGCACCTGCTACAATCACTGCAAAATCATTCCCTTAACCTTTGTATGATGATAGTATTGTTACATTATTATACCTAACACAGTCTTTGGACTTAAGATTTGAGTTGAAAAAAATTCTGGAAGTTGGAAAAAAATCTACTGATTTTCTTATTCACTGTTTATGAAAGCAACTCACTGCCAGACCTGGACTGTCCTGTCACACATATTCCTTGAAGGCAGTTTTATTAAGTAAACTGTATCCTTTAATTATTGAGTAAGAGACCGAGAGTCAAATAACTTAGTTTGGTATATTTTTGCGGATCAAAAGTTGCCTGGATTTGAATTACTGTAATAAATTCCATGAAACTACCAAACTTAGATTGCTTTGGGTATACACATAGAGATAATCATGCATTATTTAAAGAAAAAGTGGAAAGTAGTGTAACTGATTGATAAAAGACCTGAACGTCACAGAACATAAGAACTTTATTTCAATCAATTTTCTTGTCTACAGTGGCATATTGTATCCTGTCTTTTCACACTTAAGCATGGTTGCTTTGAGGTCAGGAAGCTTTCCCTGTTTTCTGGTGGAACTGGTCAAAAAATACCTCTCTACCAATACCAAAGTTTACTTTTCTGTTTTTTATTGGAAGGAAAGGAGCATTTGCTAACCAGATGCCAAAGCACAGGAGGAAAGAACATTACACCAAAAAATGCAAAAGCAACCCAGCACACTTCTTTCCACTATAATAAAACAACGAACAGGGTCAACATTTAAGACATGCAGGATATGATGAAGGAAGGAAGAAAACATTGTCCAGAATAAAGAGAAAACATACTCTCCAGTATATAGTGCAATGTGTTCTTAGTAAGATATGTTAGCATGCTCATCTTATTAGTTTTGAGGAGAATAATTATGTTATCTTATTTCTTTGTGTTTAGTTCTTCATGGCCTTGATTTGGAAAGTGAGCATTGCATCTTTGAAAATCTCAATGGCACTGTGAACCTCATCCCACTGAACGGAGCACAGTGTTCTGTGAATGGTATTCAGATTACAGAGCCCACACACCTCAACCAAGGTATTACCCAGCCTGATGGCACTTTTCATACAGCCTCTTCGTTTTTTTCTGGCAACAGCACTGAAAAAGTCTGCCTGTATATAAAGGAGTTATTGTTTAATTAATTTTAATTTCATGTCCTTTCAACTACAGCCCCAAACCATCAGGAAAACCACGGAGTTTTTGTTCTGTCAAAGAACTGCCACTGGTGAAAAGAGAATTCTTTATTAGTTTCAACTGCTTCATAATCTTGAGTATGATGTGATAGTTACCCTTGATTTTGTTTGTTTTTACACAAAGGGAACTCCATGCCAGATGTCTTACGTTGCTGTAATATTAAAAAAAAGAATATAGATCTTTATAGGACTAAAATAATGTCAGAGACACCCCTGCCCCCTCCTCGAGCTTCAGGTTGGTCCTACTTAATACTGTTGCCAAATCCTCTTGTACAGCAGGAGATTGAGCTGGAGTATCTGTTCTCTGCAGCTGTATGGAAATGACCAAAAGGGGGAGGCTAACCCTTAGGGAGGAAGTTTAGAGAATTATAATTTTAATATAAAAGCTTTAAAATCTGGAAATGAAAATGCAGCCAGGACAGCTGGGAACAAAGGTGTATTGTGTTGACCTGGAAAATACTGGCTGACAAGTGAGCTGGTGAGTGCTGCAGCAGAGGTTCAGGATGTTTTATCTTCCAGGAGCACCCAGAATATCTTCCCATTCAGCAATGAGCTGAAAAAGACCTGTTTAGGAGTGAGCTTGTGACACAGCTCAGCTGCTGAAAAACAATCTCACTTTACATTCCTGGAAAGAAGCTTTCAGAGTAAGCCTGGCCTAACAAAGGAAGGATGTAGTGTTGGACAAGGGGAGTCTTGCATCTTTTGTGAACTCTAAGAAATGCTTCCAAAGGCTGCTTGCAGAAAGTTAGGACTTTTGGTGTAGAGAGGGGATGTTGGGTTTGTTTGGGTTTGTTTTTTGGTTTTTTTTAAGTGCCAATTTCTTCATGCAAATGCTTGTTTCTATTACAGATATGAAAAAACCCCCCACCAGCCTCCTTGGTCTTAGGTTTGGATAAATCCCATGGATAAATTGTTAACAATAGAAACATTGACATTAATGGCAAATAACACTGTTAACAATCAAAATTGGGTTTCAATCTCTCATCTTTACTTTATTCTGCTGCATTTCAAAGGCAGTAAAGTTCGATGTGCCTCAAAAGAAAGTAGGAGTTTGGATGCTATTTCTCTCGTTCAGATGCCTGTCACAACTTTTTTTGTATACTGTGAAAAGTGGAAACATGACTTTTTTTTCCCCTCAATAATTTCTTTAGGCAGAAATTTGGAACTCAAAAAAAAAGGAGAGTAGAGGGATGCTTAGTGTTACTAAATAGTGAAAATCAGCTGCATAAGATGACCTTTTGTGTGTGTAACCAGACTGAATCTGAGAGGAAGGTACCAACTGTGACATTAGGTGTGCAAAACTGATTAAATCACTAGTTTAATGACTCATGCACAATCCATACATCCTGGCTGTGTTAGCATTTAGTCTCACAGCATGAAGTGCCAGCCTCCTGAAATATCTGCTTTTAGGTGATGCTGATTAACTGCTGATATATTTAAATGTTTCCGTTTATCATTAATAGCTGTTCATTTGAAAATGTGTTAGATTTTTAGACTGTCATGGAGCTTAAAAAAAGGAGGCATAGTAATTAATTACCACTTCCTTCTACAGATTACTTCCACCATTTGTATATTCTGGCTAATGTGGCTTTTTTTTGTAAATGTAACCTAACTACATATTTTTTTACTCTTAAGAACATATATGGTGGGATTTCTAAAGGTAACGGTATTAATATTCACAATTAGAGTTTGTCCTTTTCCTTAAATATATCCTCACCTTAGAACAAGTTTTCAGGTTTTTGGGCCAAACTATAAACCCTTCTGTACTTTAAAGAGAAACCTAGGAGTTATTCCTATGATCCATCATCAGAGATTGACTCTCATGTGCTTGCTGTTAAGTCTCTCTCTTCTTTCTCTTAAATTTATGAAGTTAGAAACAAATATCTATGACTATTCATTCTGAAATTTTAATTACTTTATTTAAGTTTCTTCCACCTAGGGAGGTTTACAATGTTTACAATTATTTTATCTTCATTTGAAAGTAACTGCAGGGATTTCATACAGATTTGTGAAAGGTAATTCTTTCTAAGATAAGAGTGAGGTAAATTATTTGTGTGTCCAAAACTGAGGTTTTGTGTAGACAGCAAGAAGTGGCTGTAGTACTTTTTGCCATTTCTTTGCCAGGACTGGGTGACCTAATTTGAGTTGGTACACTTAATTAAGCTGATTTTAAGAGAAGCATTCCTTGCTAAGGACAGCATTTCATTTCAGATGGTAAGAATTTGTTTCTGATTAACAGTTTAAGTGGAGCTTTTTCATACTGTGAGTGTAATGGAGTCCTTTTTCTTTTTAAAAATGCCTCGTATTGACTGACAGATCAAATGCTTGATTCTGTGGTGATGAACTTGGAAGACTTCCATGTTAGATTCTGTGGTGATGAACTTGGAAGACTTCCATGTTATGACAGTAGTGAGGCATCACTGACAATGTACTTCTTAGTAGGGAAGTATTAATCTTGGTACCATTGTCTTTAAAATATGATAAGGATTGCTCAGAATCTCATTATTTGTGACCTGTACCTTAACTGATTAAATACAATAACAGATCTGCATTGAGCAATATGAATTATTCAAGGTTCTTCCCTCAGAAAATAGTTGTTGGGTATAGAAGTCTAATAATCCTGTTTTGAGTGACAATAAACTTCAGTGTTCCACAGAGAGAAGTAAAATGTGAGAGTACAAGTAATGGAGATCTAGAGCTTTTGATGTAGGTGAATTCAAACCTGACAGTGATCAGTAGTGGATGGACAAGTTTGTTCTTGGTCACATCTATGGATGTTCCCATTAGATCTGGTACCTACTCCTGGCTTGCAAAGTAGCACCGTTGAAGAGTGTATAGATCAAATTAGGGCAGCTGCTTCCTCTACCTATATTTATTCTTTACCTGAACTCCATGAACATGATCGACCTTTGTGTTGGTCATATTCATGCAGTATGTGAACATGTGTGGGTTTTTATTTTTCTGTAAGTAGGAAGAGGAAGGAATAGACTGTATACATCAGTTAAGGTAGCTGTGACTATGCATGGATATACACTTACCTTGTCAAAATGCATTTTCATTTTGTTCTTGCTTAATGGAAGTCTTTGCTTACATGTTGTGTGTCTGAAAAATTACATGGTACTTTTGGGTACAGAATGTTGTCGGTGAGTGGTCTGTGTTTTTCTCATCAGGTGCTGTTATATTACTTGGAAGAACCAATATGTTTCGCTTTAACCACCCCAAAGAAGCTGCCAAGCTAAGGGAGAAAAGAAAGGTGAGATTAAATCAGCATTTGGTAAATTTAAACCTTTTCACAATTTTCTTTCTAATATAGACATAACTGGATTGTTATAGAATACCTTTATTATTTACTTCACATACTTTAGTTAATATTTCATCAGGTGAAGCAAAGTAAGTTTGTAAACATGTCATTACTTGTCTAATACATTTATTTTATGATCTGTTGTTAGAGTGGACTGCTGTCTTCCTTCAGCTTGTCTATGACAGATCTTTCAAAATCCTGTGAGAACCTGTCAGCAGTTATGCTTTATAATCCAGGGTGAGTATATTCTAAAATGCAGTTGTTATAATTCCAACCATTCTTTATTTTAGCTGTTTGAAATGTTCCAAAGGCATTATGACTCAAGTTAACTGTTTTTCCTGAAAAAATGCATTGTGAACTGAAAATTAAGATCTCTTGAGTTCATATATTACCAATAAAAGCATAAAAAGGCTGAGAAATGGCTTGTGTTCTCACCTCTGTACCTCTGAGTAGGTGGTCAAGTTAGGATATGGAAAAAAGATTTATTATGCAGTTACAATGACATAGAATGCTTATTGCAGAGAAGCAGTTTTTAATGATTTTACCACTATTCTTAAATGACTTACAGAGAATTGATGGTGTTTTGTTCATATTTTTTTTTCCTTAGCTGGTGTTTTGAATTGAGTGTGAGATGAGGCACTTTAACCACCTATGTGCTTTTGAAAAAGTTGGCTCTAAATTGAATTATAGGCTTGGATAGTGCAGCTTTATTCCTGAGTTTTACTGTGGGGTTGCTCTTTATCCATTAGAATTTAGGAAGATTGGACAGGTAATAATAACTTCAAGTTGAACGATGTCTAAATAATAGGGAGTATGTGTAATAACCCTGCTTCAAATGTGACTGTTACTCTTTTGCTACTGAGCTACCTACAGAGATCTCAAGATTGTGAGCTGGTTGCTGATAAATTACAACTTATTTTGAGACAGAGATGGTAAAGAAGATCCAAAAAAGTATATGTATATTTTTCTATTTCTTTAGCTCTTCAAATAGTTCAATCTAAAAACTTACAGTGACAGTTGCTTGTATGTTTTCCGTGAGCTGGGGAAAATTCCTGGCAGTTGTTACCTCTGGTTATTGGTCAGCTATCCTGGGCTTTTCCCTGACTAAAAATGTTATTCTGCTGCAATATTGTTATGAATAATTGTATTATACTGGATATTACTGACTTGGAGTTTGCAGTCAGTATAGAGGAGGACACATTGTTTCAGCATTACCTCACTAGTCATTCAGATTTTCAGCAAAATATAATGGCATGGGCAAGGCCCAGTTGAAGGTATGCTTAAAAATGATTTCCCAGCCCAAGAAGTCATACTGTCTTCAGGTAATGCCAAACGGTGCCTTATAGAGAGGATTTTTCTAGTAAACCTTATTTAAAAAAAAAGAAAAAAAAAAAAAGAGAAAGTCTGGAGAGTTACTTGATTGTCTCTGATGGAGTAGATTGCAGCAAATTCTTCTTTTTTCTAGATATGTTTTAGGGAATATAGCTTTTTTTTCTTATTGGTTCTTCAAACATCTTGCTTTGCTTTCTTGGAAATTAAACAGTATAGATAATTTTATTAGATTGTCAATGTGTGCAGCAATTTTTAGAAACATTCCCATTTTTCCTATTTAACAGTTCTTGTGACTTTTACTTTCCTTTGTGGAATATGATTATAAGAGCACTCTTGCTCTTGAAATTTAGGATAAGATTAGGTGAAACACTCGTCATGTTCCTGAAGACTTCATGCCTGTGCTTTATTAAACTATAAACTATAAACAGAGGGTTAATTATTGATATTCTCCTGCTAGTCTGCATTCAGTTAATATTTGTGAACTGTCTTGGAGGAACAGATATTTTGTCCTGCTAAATTTGTAAACACAAGAAAATCGTATTACATAGGGAATGCAGGTCACTTGTTTGTGAGCAATAAAACCTGTCTGAGGTTATTTTATAGTCACTGTTATGTGTATGTGTTTTTCTAAGAGAGGAAGCTTGTGAATCATTGAATTGTTTGGGTTGAAAGGGACCTTTAAAAGTCACCTAGTTCCAACCTCTCCTGCAATGAGGAGGGACATCTTTAGCTCGATCAGGTTACTCAGAGCCCCATTGAACCTGACCTTGAATATTTCCAGGGATGGGGCATCTACTACCCCTCTGGGCAACCAGTGCCACTGTTTCACCACCTTAATTGTAAAAAATTTCTTCCTTATGCTTATTCTGAATCTACCATTACCCCTTGTCCTATCACAACAGCCCTGCTGCGAAGTCTGTCCCCATTTTCTTATAAGCCCCATTCAAGTACTGAAAGGCTGCTATGAGGTCTCCCCAGAGCCTTTTCTTCTCCAGGCTAAACAACCCCAGCTCTCTCAGCCTGTCTCCATTGCAGAGGTACTCCAGCCCTTGGATCATCTTCATGGCCTTCATCTGGATTTGCTTCAGCTGGTCCATGTCCTTCCTGTGCTGGGGACTGCAGAGCTGGAGGCAGCCCTGTAGATGGGGTCTCATGAGAGTGAATCCCCCCTCACTTGCTGCCCACGCTGCTTTTGATGCAGCCCAGGATACAGTTGGTTTTTGGGCTGCCAGTGCACACTGAGGGGTCATGCCCAGCCTCTCATCTACCAGTCCTTCTCATTAGGGCTGCTCTCAATCCCTTCATCCCCCAGCCTGTACTCATACTGAGGGTTGCCCTGACCCAGGTGCAGGACCCTGCACTTGGCCTTGTTGAACTTCATGAAGTTCATGTGGGCCCACTTCTCAAGCTCATCCAGGTCCCTCTGGGTGGCATCCCATCCTTCAGGCCTGTCACTCACACTACTCAGCTTGCAGACTTGCTGAGGGTGCAGTTGATCCCACTGTCTGTCATTGGTGAAGATATCTAACAGCACTGGTCCCAGTGGTTGGATCTTCATAATTGAAACTCTAACCCCTATATTTTAGATGAATAACATATTCCATATAATCGATGTCACACCTAAGAGTACACATGTTCATGCAGTGCAGAGGTGAGTGTTGTCCTAATAGATCAGTAACTTAAAAAAACTAAACGCCTCCCCCCACAAATCAACCAAACCAACCAACCAAAGAAAACCAAAAAAACCCCAACCCTGAAAAAAACCTCCAAACCTCAAATGTGACTATTTTTACTTCTTTTATAACTGCTTGTGCTGGTTTAAAGGTAAACCAACAGGGGAAATGAACTCAACTCAAAAGAGAGATTATAAATCAGAATAACAATTTAATAAAATAACACAATAAGTACGATTATACAGACAAACAATTGGTTTTAACCCACAAAACCCAAATATATAACCCAGCACCTTGGGGCATGAACAGAGTGGTGTTCTTTGGGCCCCCTGAGTCCAAAGGAAAAAAAAGTGAGGGGAAAACCTGTTGGTGAGAGTGCTGTTGCAGTCTGGTCAAGAGTGGTGATTGCAGTCTGGTCAAAAGTGGTGACTGCAGTCCAGTTGAGGATGGTGGTCTCAGTCTGGTTGAGAGCGGTGAGCTGCAGTCTTCCTCTGGATCCCAGGAGTGGTAAAAAGGTTCCAAAACTCCAAGTTTATATATTCTCCAGTTCAGGCAGGAATGCTCAGTCCCTCCCTCAGAGCGGGGAATTCCGTAAAAGGGTATGAGGATGCTCAGTCCTTCCTTCAGAGCGGGGAATTCCATAAAAGGGTATGAGGACAGGAACATCTTCCTGTCTCGCAGGCCTCTACTGCTAACAATTTCTGGGAAATGGCATGGAAGGCTATAGAATACACAGTTTTGGGTTACACCCATACCATGATGAACTAGTCTCAACTGTCCTAACTAGGACACTGCTGTAAAGAGAAAGAAGGCTCTGATGCTTGCACTGTAGTTAACTGAGCCCTACAAATCAGTAGAAGAAAGCATCTTCTATAATTGATGCATCTTTATGGACAGCAATTTGGCAACAGCAACTTTTCAGCTTAGGCTGGGGTTCTATGACAATTTTAAATTTATTTATGTTGATGCTAACACTGTTTTTTTTTACAATATCCTCCTTTGTGACAGCACTTGAGTTTTCCTGATCATGTCATGAGGTTGTCCCAAGGAGGTAATTGTGCAAAAAATGTTACTTTAGGGGAACAGGGGGCTGGGATAAATGCAAGTTAAAGAAAAGAATATGTTTTGAATAAAGCAGACCCCAAGCTCTCTACTTCCAGCTAAAAATGCTGCTAAGCAAGTGCAGTGCTGCAGTGGTAATTCTTCTGAGTGGTGACTGTTCAGCCTGGATGAAACATTCAATAAATCCTATCTCTGAGTATCAAAAGCAGGGTAGTTGTACCCAAGAAGTTAGGTGGGGTTGAGCATCTTACATTCTGGAAAAGTGCAGATGGAAAAGAATATCCTGCACAAAATTTAGTTTGGATTTTTTTTTTTCAGCAGGGCCAATAGTATGAGCCTTAACTACAATAAACTAGAGTATCAGTTTCCCATAACATGATGCTATACTGCCCACCACCAGCAGAGGCCTAGATTCTGTACTGGCCCTCTGGGGTTTTTTCTGTGCAATATTAGTAGCTGACTAGCATTCTGCCTATTGTTAATTTGCATTTTCAGGACTACTTTTTCTTCCAATCTCAGTATTGATAACCTAAAGACTGGTAGCTAAATTTGCGATTTCTGTGGGTTGCAATAAAATCTGGCATCTTTCGCAATCAGAGAGCCTGTGGGGTATTACCTTCACTTGTTGTGAAAGCAACATGAGGATCTTGCTTACTTTTCCATGTGAAAATCAGCATTATCCTTAATAGTGTTTTCAGATGGTCTTTTGTTGTTTGTGGGGTTTTTTGTTTGGCTGTTGATTTCCCATATGTGGAGAAAGTTTCATGAAGTTTTGGCTTAACATGCAAAATTCTTTGTTCTGCTTGTTCCCAGTCTTTGTCTTTAATCTGGTGTCATGCAACACTGCTTCAGATAATAAGCATTGGATAAAAGAGAATTCTACTCATAGATTTATGCTGAAGATTTCATTTGTGGGCCTTTTGTTAGCTACATGGTCATCATGGCTAGGCTTTGTGAACAAAGATTTGGGAGCTACATGGTACTGTAACTGTAAAACTACTGATGAGAAACCTTGGTCTTGTCATGGATTTAGTATGGGGGGGTTTGTTTTGTTTGATTGGTTTTTTTTTAAATTAATCTCATAAATTGGGCTACCGAATGGCATTGTAACATCTTTGTAGTCCTGCCAGTCCTCAGTCTTTCCTAACAGATGTCGTACCAGATTGTACTTTTGTGCTGTGTAAATTAAACTACTGTAGTACCATGCTAGTAGAACTGACTTCCTTTCTCTGCAGCTTATCTACACTCCTCTTATCACTAGATATGACACGTTTTCCAGGAAAACAGTGTCTTTTTAATTCAGCACTGATCAGATTAAGTTCCTTTGTGGTAGATCTACAAAAGAAGAAAGAGTGGATTCTAGTCTTTAATATCTGTATGTTTCTTTTTAATTTCAAGCTAATATATTTTTTTGCTAGTCACAGTAGTGCTCACATTAATAAAGAGTAGAGGTTATGTGAAAAAGATTTTTATTGGGATAGACTAAACTGAAAAGATCAGTCTGGCATCTGTGCTTTGTAAAACTGGCAGTGATTTGCTATAGCCAATGGTTTTGGGGAGGAGTTTTGTGATGCTGAGATATTTGTTTTCATTAGCTCCTTAAAGAAACAATGTCTCTGCCATGAGGCCTGTCCTCCCTCCCCAGGTTCTCTCCTGTCCTGAAATAACTTTGAGTCCACAATGAGTTTGAAGCAAATATTCCAGAGACAATGGTCTCAGAAGTGGTGAATTCCTAAATGTATTAAGAAAATAGGCAGCCAGCTGAGGAAGACAGGCACTATTCATAAAGGCTGCAGCGTGAGCACCTTAGAGAATGAAGACACTGTGAATAACCCCATGGCACAAGAGCCTTCAGTGAAGCTCAGACCATCTTAGGCACCACCAGGCAATGACAACCCTTCTCTTCATAGGAGTATTTATTGGTCTAAAATGCATTAAATATGCATTTTTAAAATACCTCCATGTTTGGAGGCTGTGGACCGGGGTGTTGATGATGATGATGCTTCATATTTGGCTCTGGGAAGGAGCCCTTTTCATTGAAGAAAGAACCACTTCTGCATAGTTCATGCCTTTTTCCTGAACAACGTTTTGAACACTTCCAGCTTCGTTTCAGTATGAGGTAAAACTGATTGTTGTGACACCCCTGTTGAAGGTATTAGGGACAATTCCTCCAAGAGAAAATCATGGAGTTTGTAACCGCTGACCTGTTTTTATACCAGACTGATTGCTGTGGTGGCTCATTTTCTTTGTATTAGATCTCAGTCAGAAGTTAGTTACCATTTTTATGCTTGTATAAAATATATCTGCCAACTTACTTGTTTTATAGGACAGTCAAAATACCAAAAGGTTTTTGCTCTGGTTTTTGCACATTATGTTACCTGATCTGAAATGTTTTACTTCATTATGGCTTAACCAAGCATGGGAATACACTTAAATCATTCTTTGCCAACTGTCTAAGCAAAGATGGTCGATGTCTGACAGTGCCCAAAGGACACCTGCACTTACACAAATCAGAGCTGTATTGACTGGGATCTGTATTATTTTGGACTTAAGTAATGTTGAATATAGTGGCATTTGTTAGCTAAACCCTAAGTAAGAAGTGATAGCTAACAGCTCTGAATTCCATATAGTAGACCATAACTAAAGGGAGAACTTTTGAGGTATAGCTTAAAAAAAAAGGGGGGAGGGAAAAACCAAAGCACATGGTAACCATTGAATTAAGTTTTTGCTTTCTGAAGGCCCCCTAAGATTGCTTTCTGTTCTCTTCCAACACTTTGAGGGTTTTTCATTGCTGCTGCAGGAGTTGTGATCAAATAAAAAATACTAAGTTATCATCATCGCTCCTTGTGCTGTAGAGTGCTCATCTTGGTTTAATGCAAATGTGAAAAGACTCTTGACGAGACAGTTACATGAAAACTCTGAATGGCTGGAGTTGTGTGTAAAAATCTACCTTGGCTGATCTCTCAGGGATTGTAGAAGACATTTTTTTAAAAGGAATTTGTGAGAGGGAAAAATGGAATTTGCTGAACTGATCATTCTCCAATATTGCAACCACTAGAAAGATGCCTCTTGAGCATGTTAGGAATCAAAGTTCATTAAAATAGCTTTATAAATGTTAAATTATTAGTGTACTTTTTGCATATTTCCAAGGGCATTTTCTTTTTGTTCTAGGCATTTCTATGATTTTAGAAAGAAGTATCAAAAATACTTTATTTTTAAAAACCTGTCTATATAATTGGGATCATGTTGTCTTAAACTGAAGTTTGTCAAAAACTTGAAGTCAACTTGTGGTGCAGTCTTGCATTTTTTTCAGTGTTTATGGACTGTTTCACTAACCTCCACATCCTTAAACTGTAACAAACCTGAAATAAATTAATGTTTTGTATTTCGTTGAATAATTTAGTTCATATATAGGTTCTCTCTGCCATTTTTAATATTTATTGTGAATAACTTCCTTAAGTAAATCTTTCAAAGGAAATTAAAATAAGAAAAATATTTCCGTACAACTGTAATAAAAGCTGATATTAAAAATTACATAAAATGCTCTCCCATGATTAGTCAGATCCTTATCAAACTAAATACATTAAAATCTCAAAATATTTTAAATAAATGGATTTTAATTCTGTTCAGTGCTTAAATGTTGCACTTTGGGATTTTTCAACCCCACTGATTGCATCCTAGGAATGTTTTGGAATTTTCTTTTTCTTGGAAGGAAAAGGAAGAACTACAGGCATCCACTTGTAGTTTTGTAGCGCTTTCCCTTCTCTGAAAATGACCAAATTAATAAATCATAGGATGATGAGCATCATTTTAACTATCACTGGCATCTGAAAAATGTGCTTAGAAAGAATAATTATTTAAGTTTTACTTCTGAGCTGTAATGTGATGAATGTTCTATGATTCTAACCAATTTAACCTCTAATAAAACAAACTGTTGTTGATTTTGAAGTATTCTGTACTGCTAATATATTTTTTGTATCAATTCCTTTCTCAACTGATTGCTCTGTTTCCCCCTGCCTCCCATGGCAGTCTTTTCCCTGTAAAAGGACCGATCTGTCTAAGGTAGAGAAATTAAATTTCTATATATTGATTGCCATGTCTGCATGTAGTTAACTCAAGAGGCTATGCTAATCATTTTTATGTCTCTTCAAACTTTCCCTTTTAAATTTTTTTTTTCCCCAGAAATTAATTTATTTTTCTGTTTATGCTCATGTCAGACAGCATGATATCTAATTTGTAACCCTAATAAAGGAACTATTTTCTGTTCTTGTAGAAAGTAGTTTTATGAAGCTTCTTTTGTATCATTGTTATCATCTAACCAGGGATTGAACTGCATCATATCTTCCTACTTTTGTGACATTCAGGAAATAACCTTTTAACCGTATTCTTTTTTTTTAAATCAGGCTAGAATTTGAGAGACAACAACGAGAGGAGCTTGAAAAATTAGAAAGTAAAAGGTAACATTATTCTCTATGGTATTTATGTGTATCTGTAAGTACACGTTATAGACTCATTTAAATCACTGCTTTGGGATCACGATGTTAGTTACTCAGCAAGCAGAGGACCCTGAATAGCTGAATTGTAGCTAATTGTGATTTTTATAAGCAAAGAAACTCTGAAACACAAAGATATGAGGAGGATAGATTATACAAATCTAATATATTACCTTTGTTCTTAATTTTTGTGGTGTTGTTTTAAAGGACAGCAAATTACATTCTTTATTGAGTTTGTTGGTTTTTTTTGGTTTAGCTGCCTTTAGATTAATTCGAGATAGCAAAAACTCACATGTTGCACTCTGCTTCTCTTACATAAAACTATGGTGTGGAATGGACATACTAATAATGCTTATCAGAACATTATTTGGGTATCAGTTTGAAGTACAGAAGAAAGCATTGTTGTCAACTGGCAAACTGAGCTGACTATTCTGGCACTCATATCTGCTAAGATTTTGGAGGTGATAGCTCGGACCTTGTTGCAGATTCCAGCACTGATTAGATTCATGCATTGAAAACCACTCTGCCATCTCAGCCCTAGATGACTTGTTCCATTTTGAAAGAGCTCTTTATATAGTTGGACTAGGTAAATTCAGAAAACCCCTGAAACTCTGAAGCACTAAAAGATGCTGTTCAGCAATTGATGCAACATAGGATCACTGATATTTATCCCTTTTGTTATATTGATGGGATTTGAATTCAGATTGTGCTGAAATTGGTTTGCTTGTGATTTAATTTATCTGACTTTAACTTCTCACAAAATAACCAACTGACTTGCAGGTTGTCTTTACTTGTATTATGGGGACAATGGGGCCTTCAAGTCTGCCCGCATTTGGAATGTGCTTAGAACCTTTAAAAGAGAGATTACACAGGACGCAGTAATTTGTCTTATATGTTATAATCTGTTTATCGATAATTCAGTCGGGGTCAGAGAAGGCATTGTTTTAATTCATCTGTTGGCTTAAATTTGGTAAGGCAAATTGCTGATCAAGTCCTTTTATACAAATTTGTTTGTATGAGAATGTATATATAAAAATCTGTGTTTATTCTTCACTGTGTGCATGGATGTGTTCTATCAATATTTTTATTAGATTTGGCAGAACTAATAAAGTCTTAATTTTTTACTAACAAAAGTGCTATGTAGCGTGTCTTCCTATAACTTTATATATCCACAACTTTTTATGTTGACACAGACTATGTGAGTGTCTTTTCCATTTGTTTCATGCATTGAGTCACTTCCAAGCAGTGTAAGATCTCAACCTGTGGCAAAGCAAAACTATTAAAGAAAGAAATGGTTATATATACTGGAAAGTCCTAGACCAAACCTTTTTAACTTCATGCAAATGTTTTACTGCAGGAAACAAATAGAAGAGATGGAAGAAAAACAAAGATCTGACAAAGCAGAACTCGTAAGAATGCAGCAAGAAGTAGAGTCACAGCGAAAAGAGACAGAGATAGTTCAGCTGCAAATTCGAAAACAGGAGGAGAGTCTGAAACGGAGAAGTGTTCACATTGAGAGCAGGTTAAAGGATTTGCTGGCTGAAAAAGAGAAATTTGAAGAAGAGAGATTACGGGAACAACAGGAGATAGAGCTTCAAAAGAAAAAGCATCAGGAAGAAATTTTTGCCCGGGTCAAAGAGGAGTTGCAGCGACTACAAGAACTTAATCATAATGAAAAAGCAGAGAAAATGCAGATTTTTCGTGAACTAGAAAGACTTAAAAAGGAAAAAGATGAACAATATGTTAAGCTGGAGTCAGAAAAAAAAAGACTTGAAGAACAGGAAAGAGAGCAGGTGATGCTTGTGGCTCATCTAGAGGAACAGCTTCGAGAGAAACAGGTCATGATAGACCTCCTGAAGAGAGGGGATGTGCAGAGAGTTGAAGAAGAGAGAAGAGACCTTGAAGATATTAGAGAATCTCTATTGAAAGTCAAGGAGGCCCGCTCTGAAGGTGATGAAAACCATGAGGATTTAGAAAAAGCACAGCATGATTTTGTAGAGTTCAAAAGGAAACAGCTGGAACGGTTGACTGTTTTGGAAAAAGATTTAGTTCAGCAAATGGATCACCTAGAAAAGGAAATAGCAGATGAAAAAGGAGCTCTGGAGCACTTAAAATTTGCACATGAAGAACATTTAAATCCCAAGAGAGATGATGAAAACTCTGTGGATCCCATACTCAGGGCTGAAGAAGTTGACAAGATAAAGCCAGTGGAGTACAGACTCCAATCTAAAGTACGCCAGCTTGAGTACCTGAAGAGTAATCATTTGCCAGCTCTGCTGGAAGAAAAACAAAGAGCTTCTGAAGTCCTTGATAGGGGCTTGTTAGGGTTAGATAATATTCTCTATCAAATAGAGAAAGAAATAGAAGAAAAAGAAGAGAAGCTTGCCCAGTATAGAGCCAGCACAAATCAGCTGGAGCAGCTTCAAGAAACCTTTGAATTCACAGCCAATGTAGCTCGTCAGGAAGAAAAGGTTCGGAAAAAGGAAAAAGAAATCCTTGAATCAAGGGAAAAGCAGCAGAGAGAGGCTCTGGAGCAGGCTGTTGCTAAGTTAGAAAGGAGACACTCAGCTTTGCAGCGTCGTTCGACGATAGACTTTGAAATCGAAGAGCAAAGACAGAAACTGGCCACCCTGAACAACAGCTGCAGTGAGCAGGCAGGGCTGCAGGCCAGTCTGGAGGCTCAGCAGAAAGCCCTCGAGCAAGACCGAGAACGGTGAGTCCTGTGGTGGCTTCCATTGATTAGAACCTATCCAGAGAAGGTGAATCATTTTATATTTTAGATGTTGAGAACATGACTTGTTCTGTGTCCCAGTATTTGAGTTTCTTCGTGAGTTTCAAGTAGTTTACCCAGAATTGAAACTCTGCATTGTTTTTCAAAGGATTCTTGCTCACTCATCGATTTCTCTTGTGTTCAGAGACTTATCCTGTCCTCAGCAGGATATTATTTGCATTAACCAGCACAGTACTTTAAATTGTTTTACAAAGCTCAGACAACCTTATGTTCTGCCCTTACAAAAAATGGACCATCTAACAACTTTTTTTCTCTTAAAATATTTCTATATAGCATTTTGTTTCTTTATTAGTAACAAGTCAAATGTTTGTTCAGGGGTTGGAAACGAATAGTTACAGTAGACCTGCCAACTGTCTCTCTCAACTAGTACTTCTGGAACACTTCTGGTATTCAGAGTAAACAGGGGTAATATTTAATTTTTTTGTTACTGGTTTCAGGGCTAAATAAAAATAAACTAGCCATATATGTATGTAAAGTTTGAAGCTTTGAAGGTTATTGGCAAATACACAGAGGCTTTAATACTGCTCCTGTGTGATGACAACTCCTTCTAGGTACAGAAGCAATATCATCAGTTATACACGTGATATCTGGTAGCATGATGTTCAACCCAAGTATGGGAAGCTCAGACAAAAGTGATTCAGGTAGGGAAGGATCTTTCTGTATGGAAGAAGAGGAAAAAATCTTTTGTTTCATTTTTGGCCTGAGTGAAAATCCACTGGGATTAATGCATTTAGTCCCTGCAGTACAGAAAGAGGGCAGAATTGTAATTTTTAAATGTTTTATCTGATTTACTAATACTGAAGCTTTAAAACCTGTGAATATTGGTGAAACAATGAAGTAGGTTTTTTCTTGAGGTACCATTTGTCATTTGCTTTTTTAATATTTCACTGATTATGTGAACCCTCCTTCGTAAGCCCTTGAAACAGATGGCTTGATTTAAAAAAAAACTATGAAAACAAACTTGCCGATAGCCATATTGAAGAGCTCTTCTGTATTGCTTTCCAGTTAAACCATTATCAGAAGAGAATAGTTGCTTTCAGTACACTGTGTAGAGATAACTTTTTCAACATTTATAGCTACATTGTTTGGATTTTAGTTAAACATTTTCAGTACGGATTTATCATTTTGTAGTGGATATTGTCATTATTTTCCATAATTGTCTTGGACATAAAATCTCATTTTCTACACTTAGCACCTCACTCGACTAAAGTGAGCCATAAACAACTGGAGGTTCCACAAAAATACACAGCTTAGTTAGCCCTCAAGAGATTGCTGGGTTGTGTGATAAGTGAAAAAGTATATTGAAAGCTAGAAGACTGAGGTTTGGAAAAGACACCAAGGAAGTGAAAAAATATTTTTTTTCCTTGTTTTTTTCTTGTTTACTCCAAAGTTCTGTTGTACAAGCTAAATAAAACTTTGAAGTCTTTCAGTGAATAGCCCGTGGGCCTGAATAATTCAATTCAGAATGTTTTTGTGAATGTTGAGGCAGAAGAAAAATCTTAAAATATGTGATAGTGTGTTAAACATTTCAGGTCACTTATTGCTCTTGTGTTTGAATTTACGCTGCACAGGACGTGATGCCATAGTAAGCATATGAATTATATATGTTTCTTATTGTTTATCTAGATCCCATTATGTGATGATATGCTCTAGTTCAGTGTTAAGTCTCTAAAAATGTTTAAGTGCAATATTCACTTGATATGCTACAAGACTATAATTTCATCATACCTGGATAAAATGGTTTTTTTTCAGTTTGAATCCTGTATAAGCTCAAATTCTTTCACCTACAGGGATGACCCACAAAAAGATAATTTGAAGTGAACTTATATTGGGATAGTGCATACACATTTTGTCTTTACTAGCAGAGGTTTGGGGCAATAGAATGAACATAAAGCAACTTTAGAGTCATCTTTGAGGCAATGGGATGCATCACTCACAAGTGGCAAGGTGCAGTTTACAGTTCTTACTGGTGGATGCATCACAAGACTGCTCATAGCTATAAAAAGTGATATCTTTTCCTATTAGGATGTTTACAAACCAAGAGATAAGCTTTGTTCCTTTAATATAATTTTGATTTTTGTGGTTAAATTGATTTTCCATAGATGCAAACACTCTCCTATATCCAGCAACCATCTCCCATCCACTTCCCCTCAGGATACAAGATTGTTTTGCTGCTAATCAGAAGAAACAGATGGCTTTTGGCAGCAAAAAGTACTCTACAAATGAAGTAACAATTCAGCCTAAGCCTCAGCATTCATAATCTCTTTAATTTTCTTTTAACCCCCAGGATGGAATAAAGTAGTTCTAGCATTGTACTTCAATTTGGATATATACAATTGTAGGCAAAGTGGTAGAATCCCAGCTTTGCATAGTTTCCCCTGTTTTTTACAGGAATTTCTTCTCTTTTATTATTTGATTTTTAAGTAATCTCTAGAAAAACAATAACCTTTAGAGACAAAAATTGTAATGAAAATGGGGGAGATTATTACTGTGTTACTAATCTAATCTCAACTACATTGCAAGTGAAAAGGGTGTTCTGCAGATTACTTTATTATCATATATTTTATTTTGACTAACTGATAAATAAAGACTAATTGATAAAGCAAGAAGTGCTTTTTATTTCCTACAAAATGCCTCAGACATTTTCAGTCAAAAAAGGGTACCTAATTTTACGTATTGCGTTCTGTGCATAAATGTGGCTGGAATGAAATTTATTTGTTAGGAAAAGCAAGGAATCATTCAAAAGATGATTTGCTAGGTGCATATATAAGTTCTAGATTTTTATTTTACAAGTAAATTTTCAAATATATATATACAGATGGAATAACTGGAAAATAAAATTTATATATATAGTACAGAATTTTAAAGATTTCCTTACAATATGTTTTGCCACATCAGTGTCTTAGGTGTTCTTTGGGGTTTTGTATTAGTGCTTAGTATTTCAAGGTTTTAATTTTTTTCCCCTTCATGTCCTCATTTACTTCACACTGGAAGGTAATAAATGAGGTCACTGATAGAGTTCTGGAAGAGGAACATTTATTCAAGTGATTCTAATAGATAGGTTAGGTCTTATGAGTTAATAATGAATGTGCTGAGTTAGATACCTTTTGCACTGGAAGTTACTGAAGTTGTTTTATTCAACTTAATAATGCTGTTGGAACATGGTTTTAAGCTGTTTCTTTTCCTTTCTAAATATGCCTAAAGAACTATTATGATTTTTAGACCTTCATAAATATTAATGCTTACAATCTTACATACATGTACAGTTTAAGTACATTACTTCCCATCAGAACTATGGAAATCAACTCTAAACCAAAGCAGATTACATCTTAAGATCTTTTTTTGTAGCCTGGACCAGGAAATTCAGCAGCTGAAGCAAAAAATATACGAGGGTGATGGTGCTCAGAAAGGAAACCATGGAACATTGGAAGAGAGACTCTCCCATAGCACTTCCCCTACCAGCTCAACAAAGCCACAGCCACCCTCTGCTCCTCTGGTTGATGACAGGTAGGTAACCTGCTTCCTGCAATGTTTTGGTAGGAATACAAGCAAAAGCTTTTGAAAAGAAATATTTTGAAAGACCGTTCTGCCAGGGTTGGATTTTATTTAAGTACTGTAATTGTACTGATGGTAGTTGGCCTAGTTCCGAACAGCGCAGTACAAACTCGTGAAATTTAGCATGGAGTGTAAGGCCCCCATGTTTCCAGACTTCAGGTGGAATTCCATCAACGCCAGCTTCCTTGCTGATTTCCACCTGCTGTATGGCCTTAAGGGTTTCTCCTAAAGTGGGGGCAGTATCCAATTCATACTTCACCGGTTGTTGTGTGATGGACTGAATAGCTGAGTCTTGGACTACATGGCTAGTACTGAAAAGAGTCTGAAAGTGTTGCTTTATGCTGATGACGCCGCCCTTGATGCCCACACAGAAGCAGCCCTGCAGCATTTAACATCCTGCTTTGCAGATGCTGCTGAACTCTTTGGGCTGGAAGTCAGCTTAAAGAAGACAGAAATTCTCTATCAACCAGCACCTCAGGAAGTCTTCCATCATCCCCATATCACCATTGGCGAATCAGAGCTCAAATCAGTCCAACAGTTTAATTACCTAGGTAGCCTCATCTCCTCGGATGGTAAGAGTGACGGAGAGATAGACAACAGGTTAGCAAAGGCATATAGTGCCTTTGGAAAGCTTCATAAAAGAGTTTGGCAAAATAAACACCTCAAGAAAAGTACAAAGTTCAGTGTTTACAGAACCATTGTGCTGTCTACTCTCTTATATGGATCTGAATCATGGGTCATCTACCGCCACCACCTGCAACTCCTAGAACGCTTCCGTCAACGCTGCCTCCCTGCAATCCTAAACATCCACTGGTCAGATTATGTGACTAACATGTCTGTTCTAGAATAGGCAGCAGTTATGAGTAGTGAGGCCATGTTGCTGAGAACACAGCTGCGTTGGGCAGGGCACATCTCAAGGATGAAGGACCAACCACCCCCTCCCTAAGATCTTGCTTTATGGTGAACTTGCCACTGACTGCTGCAAGAGAGTAGCCCCGAAGAAAAGATACAAGGACTTCCTGAAACAACATCTCAGCCTTGGCCATATTGATCATCATAACTGGTCTACTCTGGCCTCCAATCGGGAGGTCTGGAGACACCATCTGTAACGCTGCTGCTGCCTTTGAGAAAGCACGCAGGATCACTCTTGAGGAGAAAAGACAACGCAGAAAGAATCGTACCTTGCTGAATATACCATCTAAGGAGTCTTTCTGCTGTGCCTTTTGCAACCAGACGTGCCTATCTCGCATTGACCTTTTTAGCCACCAGCGTACCTGTAACAAACGTGGGTAAAGCCCTTCCCAAATCTTCGTTCGTGAAGCCCAGCCATGATGTAATTGTACTGAAGAACTAGTCTGGAAATAGAATTGTGTGCTGTATTCTACTATAAATGACCAACAGCCTAATCTGTTGTTCCTGTGCAGTTTGTTTTAGAATAGAGGGTTGGGAAACTGTAGGCTAAAATGTATTTAAATTGTTTTTGTGTTTACAGTTACTTGTCTATATGGTTTTGCTTCATATACACTTAAGGCAACAAAGTAAATTAAATTATCCTAAACCTTTTTTAATAGGGCAGCTACCTGGTATCATTAAAATCTGTTTCATCTGTTCTTGTTACATTTACACGTGCAGTTGTTGATATCAGCTCTTGGAACGTTCCTTCTGTTTGAAAACCAAACCTTTGTTAGCCCAAGTTGCTGATATCACAGCAGTGATAAATGCAAACTGTGAAGTTACTGAAGATGCAACCCCAACCTTCTTGTTCTCCTTCATCACTCTTAGTCTCACTGCCACTTATATATAGAACTGTACACGTAGCAGTGGCTTAACCTGGGGTCCATTAATTTGTCTAATTGTGATAATAAATTGCTAACCTTTGCCTGTTGGAGAAACACTCACTCAAAAGTCTGTGTTCCTTACAGAGGGATAAAACTGGTCTAACATTAAGCCTGCTAATTAAGAGTTGTGCAGTACTTAGAAGCATTTCAAAGAGCTCTTTAGTCTGTCTTAACTTTTATGTAAAATACACTCTTTTTACACATACACATTTTCTTCTGTATCTTGAAGGATAAATGCCTTTATTGAACAAGAAGTGCAGAGAAGGCTCCAGAATATTCATCATAAAGCTGAGGATAACGATGTTAGTGTGGCCTGGTCTACAGAAAGTTTAAAGGTGGGTAGAGATGGGTAGGAAATCCTGACCTTTAATGTACTATGTGAAACCAGTGATTTAGTTTTGTTTTTCAATAATTTTTGTTTTCCTATGTTTACTTAGTTTTAATTTACCAAAAAAAGTAAACAGTAAATCAGGGATATCAGTTTTTAGATTTTGATCATCTTTTTATTTCCAGCGGCTGGTTTATGTTGTATTCTGTGGGGGTTTTGGCAGGGAATAATGTGTAAGTGGCAATAGGAAGTTTTTAGATAAAATAAAAATCTTCATTTTATGTCAGGAAAAAATGTGTTGATAAAAATGAATGTTAATCTGAATGGAACTTTATACATGTAAACAAATGCCCATTCAAAAACTGATGATCTGATTGATCCAAAGACCGGGTTGATTGACTTCTAAGCCAGTGGTTTTCATAAATATTGATAAGAAAATTATTATTTTTGTCTATTAGAAGGACTGTCTCTTCCTCTGAATACTTTTAAATGAACTTATACAAGAAAGGCACTCTTTTTAATAATCACCTGTACCTTTTTTGTGCTTAGGATAATGAGAGGCTTAATAACGGCACTGTTCAACGGAAGCTGAAGTATGAGGTAGGTCATAATTTGTCAGAATGAAATGGTTGTCTTAAATTATGGCATGCCCTGTAATTAAAATTCTTAATGTTTAGCTGCATAATTAGAATTTTGAATTCACAGCAAGATTAATGGCTAACAGACATGGCAGTGCATTTTTCCAGCTGGAATTAAAGTGATTTTTTTTTCAGATTTGATCTAGCTTTTTCCTTATTTGAAGGTGTGGTGTTATTCTGGATCTCTCTGCCTTGTTTTGTCATTATTCTTAATTTGGAACAGTATCCCTTTCCTTATTTCTAGAGGAGAAAAACATTTATTGAGGAGAGATTGTCTGAATTCAGCATATACTTGACATTTTTGACTCACAATGAACTGTAATGGTGTCTATAATATTAGCACAAATAACCAGGCAAGTTTGCCTGAATCCTGTCATGGAGGATTCGTACACTGTATTTATGTATTTTTAAAGTGAGCCTTAGACACCTCCTACCATATTTGCTTGTCTAACTGTTCCTTGAAACACTGTTGTTTACTTGTTTTGGTGAGTAAATCCTAAATATCTTTATGGATTAAACCTTAACAGTGGGAAGGCTGCAGCACTTCAAATTCGGACTTTTTTGGACTTTTACACTATCATTTTTAAGCTGTGTTGGACTTTTTACACTCTCTTGACTAGTATAGGGTTACTTTTTTCTGTACGTGTGGGAAAATACTAAAAGGGCTTATAAGTTTCTGCATCACCCTTTGACTTTCCTGTGGTTTTTGAGGGAAGCAAATATAAACCAAGTGAAATGGATACTGTACAAAGAAAAAGCAATGGTGGGCTGGGAAGATCAACCATTCCTGAATCAGATCTCAATAACTTCTGTTGGATTTTGTCTTTCTCATTTTGAGAGATTGTACCAATTTTGCATGATTGTTCAAACCTAATCAAAATCAGTCCTCAATTTAAGAAGATTTTACAAGGATGTTTCTGTTTTCTTCTTTTGAAATTTTTAGCAGAAAAGTCAACAGTGGCAGCCACACTGTGGCTTTCCATTTCTGTCTAAAGATGGCAATTGTGCTTCTGAGTTGCGTGGAGAAAACACAGGAGTAAGAGATCATAAGAAACAGAAGGCATATACAGAGATGCTGGATTTATTTTCCAGTTCTGGAAGAATCTCCTCCTCTTTAACATCAGAGAAGGCATTTCAGAATGAAAGGAGTAATTTGGAACAGGAGAACTTTGCTTGTCATTGTGACATTAAAAGTAGTTTAATTCACTCTAAAAATACTAATACTTTAAAGAGTAAAAATGTTTCTTATCAGAATGTTTTATCTACTTCTTTACAAAGTCCTGACTTTAATAATGTGGCTTATTCACTCCGCAAGGTTGAAAATTTCAGTCATTTTGATGATAAAATAATTACTTCTCCAGATTGTGACAGCTCAAGAACTGAATCTGATTGTTCCCACTCGAAACAACTGTCTCCTGTAGGATCCTTAATGGGTGCTAATGAGCAGACTGGGTTTAACAGTGTATCATGCCTTCTCTTTCCTCAGTCTAATATGCATTCTGAAACAAAAACTTATAAAGAAAACAGCCCATTAAATGCAGTGTACCCAACAATTGAAGACCAGTCTAGTAATTCTCAGCTTCCAACACAAAAAGCCTTTGATTTGACCCCTTTTAAGTCAATAGCTTCTCATTTTGATGCGAGACTAGAACACACTACCAGTTTGGGGTCTCTTGTCAGTAAGCTTTCCTGCTTTTGCAAAAATACCAGTAGTCAGCTGCTCCACAGTGGAGTGGTTTCCAAACAAATCAAGGAGTTGGGAAGTTTGTGTGACAGAAATGAGAGGTGTGCACAAGCAGTATCATTAATAAAAAATCTACCATTTATAAGGAACTTGCAAGTAAATGTGTTCTTCAAGTCAGATGTGAATCAAGACATGTCCCACACTACTGATGACACCAAAGCTCATACTGAAAATGTCATTCAGACTGTGTCTCCTGTGCAAGAGGCTGTCACAGTGTGTGTGAGCACAGAGATCTCGGATGACTGTACGAGAAAACCCCCTGAAGGATTTACATGCTGTAGTAAAAATGAAGAGCTGGAAAACACTTTTGTGTTAAGACAGAACTTTGTGCATTTTCCTGATGTCTTTTTGAAGCTTCAAGTCTGTTCCCTGGAAAAAGTACTGGAATTTTTGACCTGTGCTTTACCTCAGATTTCTGTTAGGATGGAGGAGTTGAAAGGTATCTACTGGCTTGCTGTTGGCAATTGCAAAAAACCTGACCCAGATCCTGCTTGCTTGCTTTTGTTCAGCTCCATTCTGTATGTTGTTGTTTCATCAGCTGAACAAGACACCTGCCAGAGTTCCTTGGCACTGCTTTGTGAGGTCCCTATTGACTCTATAAAGGAGATTCAAGTTGGCTTTGCTGGACAGAGTATTAGTCTTCTGTGTTCTGCTGAAGATGGTTTACTCACAATATTTACCTATAACAAGCACGTCACTCAAAGAATTTGCCACGACATAATGAGCATTTTGATTTCTGCAGTGGATGATGATGCTTATTTAAATCACCAGCTCTTGAAAGATGATTTGATTCAGATTTCACTTAACTGGACTTCAGATGTAAATGACTTGGTTTTTTCAAACGGAGTGCGATTGTCCTGTAAATTTCAAACTGAGTTAGCTGATCTGGTTTACTTACTCCATGAAAATATGGGAAGTATTAAACCTTCATTAGGTGACATTCGTGTTCTACTGTATACCTCAGTGAAAGTAGACTGTGCTGAGCAGACTGTGTATAGAACTCTCGTTCTTACAACTACTCATATAGGTCTCTTAAAGGAAAATCATGCCCCTAACATTCGGGATGCTTCCTGCCAGCGATCGCAGTTTGACACCCTTCAGTTGTACAGTTTGAATGATATCCGATGTGCAATTTTGCCAGACAAAGAGAATTGCACAAAAATTGAGCTTGTGTTTTCTAGAAGGAGCAAGGTTGGATCTGATTCAGGAACTGCTTTTTCTAAATACTGTGAAAAAGAAATAAATACTCAACTGACAGTCATCCCATCAATTCTTCAAAGCAGTTTGCATATCCCTTCGGAAATCTGGAAATTAACATTCAGTTCAAGTGAAGAAGCCATTTGGCTAATTATGCATCTGACTAGGTGTTGAAATCCAAATACATTTAGATACATTCAAAATAAGAGGGTAATGAATATTGATAAAATCCTTTTTTGTTTCCTTTTTTTTAATTAATAGACAAAAGGGACCTTTGAGCCTCTAAAGGAATGCCATAGACTGTGTACACACATCCTAGCAATAATAATTATTACTTGAGTGCTTGCTTTTTGTGGGTCTCTGCTATCCTTTACATACATTTCCTTTGGAAAGTGAGGAAATTAAATGTTTCTATGTTATGTGGTAGGTGGATGAAAACTATAATTACAGCTCTGCCTTCTGATTTCCATTTTGGCTGTGTTTTCTGGCTTCTTCCATCTACTATCTGTCTTCATTAATGTCTTCTCCATTCCTCCTCGATTGCCTTTTCCTTAATTTTTCTGAGTATCTGTTTTTCATGCTCCTCATTTATTTCATGCCCTTGATCTCAATCAATATTTCAAAACATCTGCAAATTTTTTTATCTTACATTTCACTGTGTGCTCTTAATACTACAGATATTTACAGCTTTTATACATGCAATTTTGAGAATAATAGATTTGACAATTCTCTCCTGCTTCAGAGTTTTGCATTTAAGGTTGATTGCACTTGCACATCAAAGTTTGTCACAAGTGCAAAAAGAGCTGTGCTTTAAATAGCATTTCAACCTTTGGTCATGCTACTGTACCTGTGGCAAAAAATGTTTTGGGGTCTGTCATCTGTGTATGTGTTTCTCATGCTGTAAATGGGTAGCTGACAGCTGGGGATACAGCCTGACAGTTGGAGTGAGTTTAACTCTAGAGTTCTGTCCGTGCTTAGCCTTACTTTCACCTTTTTCTGCTTGCTTACTAGTGGGGTTGTTGATGCTGTGAGATTGCATCTCTTACAGTCTCTTTAATACTACATGCCAAGAAAGAAGGAAACTATTGAACATTAGTAAAAGACTTCCATTAGTGAAGGCTTAGTACAAGGTTATTTTTTACCTGTTACCCTGTCAGATGTTCAAATGATAAATAAGCTGTGTTGTCTCCCATCTTTTGTTTTTTCCCATGTAAAGGGAGCTGAACACCTTTTGAATCCTGTTGCTTGAATGTGCCATCTGCCTCGTTTGAGGAGGATGGTTCTTGGCAGAAAAAACAGTGGTATCTAATCTGAAATTCTAAATTCTGTAAACATATTGCCAGCAGAGGTGCAATCTTCCACTAGACAGAGTTAGACTTCGGTCTCTTTGCTAGTATAAGAACATTTCCCATTTGTTTTTACCATATGTTAAGACATGATAACGTAACTCATATGGGATTTAAAAAGAAATAGCTTGCACTGGATGAGGAAGTTATGTCTGGAAGGATGAATGCTGGTTTGGATAGAGAATTATGGGGTTTTTTTACATTACAAAACTTGCTACTTCCTTAAGGAAGTCCAGAGATGAGCAAAATATGTCACATTATTTTGAGGTACAGTGAGGGGGAGTTAGCAAAGAAAGTGCACACAAATATCTCACAGAATGTGGAGTAGATGGAGCAGTAACCTCGTATCAGTCCCGCTCAGGAGTGGCTCCCTCAGTGACATCACAGAGGCATTTCTTCTGGCCCTTGCCCAAAGTCAACAGTGAGTGGCACTATCTAGGAGGACTCTCTTGATCAAGGCTGTTAAAGGAAAGCAATTTCTGCAACCAATTTCTTTTCAGATTATACCCCAAAGTTAAGTGTTTGTGCATATTGTGTTTCCCAATAATGCGTTTTTCCTCTGTTGTGCTTGTTTTCAAATCTTACTCAGTGAATATTCTGCACTTTTATGAAAAAGAACAACTTCACAGCAATATCTTTTATTCTGATGTAAAGTAAACATAAGATAATGATCATTGTTTATGAATATCAAAAGCATTATTTAATGCATTAGGGTGTGTTTTCCACAACACTTTGTGTTTGAAATTGTTTTCCTCTCTATTATTACCGTTTGTAATAGTTCTCTGGAAATGACTGCCAATAAATTATGTGTTGACAGAGGTGGCTTCAAGAGTAACTTTATGGTTTTATTGTTGTTTTAAAACAGATTATATTGTTGTCAGGGCAATGAACTCCTCTTTTTCCCCAGGAAAGAATTGCTTACATTCCTATGCTTCAGAAATGAGTTTTAGCTGAAAAGCCAGTAATGTTGGGAGTGGAGAAAGAAGGGCAAAGTGGACAGGAGAGAATATTTGTTGTGAAAACAAAGGTCACTAAATTTTTTTCCATTTAAACAAATTTTTTTTATATTTTCTTAAAAAAATAAGAAAAGGAAAAGGGAAGTTTATGGGAAATACCCCCTAGATAAAGCCAGTGGAATGAAAATTCACTTTCTTTGTGTTTTCTTTTTCACTATTTTTAATACTAATGTTAAGGGAAATGACGTCATTTATAATTGACTAGTAATGAAACAAGTCTCCCCTTCTGGAGAGCTGTGAGGATGCCAAAAGGCTCCCTGGAACAGGCAGAAGCATTTATGAAGGAGTTTCAAACTTTTCTCTAACTCCTGCACAGTATCACGCTTACTGGAAGTCACCAGGAGTTGCAACAAAGGACATGGATGTTGAGAATACAGTTACAGGTCAAGTGATGGAGCGCTAAATACAAATACATCAAATACTATCCCATACACAAATTTATAAAGTTATAACCATAACTTGAAAGTGATGGTTTTCCAGTCTTTTGTTGTTAAATTGTATTTGTCATGATGATACTGGTTTTTTTAAGTGCGAGTTCATTAAGGTTTTCAGACCAAATACATTCATTGGAGCAAATGGAGGACTTCCTAAAAGGCAGGTTCTGTACTTTTTCACTCTAAATGCTTATGCTACTTTTGGACACAATCACTGCAAAGCATTAATCTTTTCAGTTTAAAAGGGGTTTGTTTTTGACATAACTTCAGAGTTATAGATTCCATCTGGCTCAGAGTCATGGACCCTCATTGCAAATACCTTTTTAGATTGTTTTTTCCAGACTGTGCAAATTCATTGTAGCTGAGTTTTCTGATAATTAGATGTGATTTAAAGAAAATAGTAGGAAACTGTTCTGACAGTGGATTGCTTATTTAATTATAAAATGAGTTTGGATTTTTAACATCCAAGAGCTTTCTGAATTGCTTAGACCCCTTGCAGCTTTGCATAATATTGTAAACATGTTTATTATGTAAAGACATACAAAAATTATGGTTGACTGTGAAGGCTTGATTAATATACTTATTTTTTTAAAAGAGGGTTAATACAAAGTCTTCTACTTTTCCTTGATTTTGATATCTAAGCTGAAAATGCCTTTTCAAAGAAAGGAATATTTTTGAATACAATTTTTATGCATAAAGAAATATTGGGGCTTGCTTAGAAAAGGAGATCCACTTTGTTTTCAAATGGTTACTTCATTTGAGAAATAATTTCTGCCTCATCCATGCTCTCTTTTCCTGCTCTTCTGGCTAAGAACACATTCTTGTTTTTAGTGAAGTTCTTTTCTCTTTTTCCTTATGTAGTGATTTTGGTTTTCCTTTGTTCTCCCTATTTGGTATGCACATGAAAGCGGATGGTCTGTCGTTCACTGGGAGCAAATCCAGACGACCTAAAGGACCCAATTAAAATTAGTATTCCACGGTATGTCCTGTGTGGGCAGGGAAAGGATGAACACTATGAGTTTGAAATAAAGGTAAGTGCTTTTCAGTCGCTTTTCTTTAATGTTTTTGTTTCACTGAGTGCAGTTTTTGGTTCTCTTTCTGTTATGAAAGTGTCCTCAATACTGCTAAATAAGAGAGGTTGTGAGAAGACATGCACAGGACACTATAAAGACAGGTATTTTCTGAGTGGATTGATTGTACAGAGGAGACTGGTAGCCAAACTCTTGGGCTGAGTAGTTCCTAAGCCAATGGCAATTCAGTTCAAAGTGTTGCAGAGATGAGGATTAAATTCCTATTTTTAGTAGGAAAGCCCTTTATTGAGATGCAAATGTCAGGTATGGTAAAAGTTCAGGCTTGAAATATTTACCTGAAATAATGAAAGCATAATTAAAGTATTTTGCACATATGCACAACATAGGCTTAATTCCTTTCAGGCTCTCTTTGTTCTTCTGATACTTCCCACCCTGCATTTCCAAAGTGTCACTTCTCCAAACTGTTATCTGCTTCCCCTCCATTCCAGTGGCTTTCTCAGTTGATCTTCTGTCCAGAAATACTGGGGGGGCGGGCGGGAAAGCATATTCATTTTGTTTCCTCTGGTACTCAGCCAGTGTTTTTCCAAAGCAAGATGTAACGTCTAATTGGAAACGTGCTCTCAGTACATGTGGACATGTAGCATAAGTGATGTACGTGGCATCAGAGTTGGCAGCCTCCTTCCTGAATGTACTGCCAGATGCTTCCTTAGCTGCTGTGAGGTGGAGGAGTGACCTCCCTCACAGTGTGAAGGGCCATTTCTGAACTGTGCTCACATTCTCTTTTACAAAGGTTTTTGTTAAGATGGGCTACCTTAACTCTGTTTGTTCTAATTAAACTTTCATTTTGAAACATACCGCTCAATTTTTGGGTGGAATACCTCCTTTTGCCTGTTGAACTTTGATTTTCCTGAGGCCAGCAAAAACCCAGAGCCAGAGAGATGCTGAGAGATGAGGAAGTGCACGTGAAACTTCCCTTAGGACTGTTCTCACCAACTGTTTTCTGCACATGGGATTTACTAGACTAGGTGATGGTTAGTCAAGATAACAGATAAAGTAAAAAAGTAGCTTCTCTTCTTAATAAGTTGGTGGATTTCTTTTCCAAGTATTCTCCCTTCATCCCTAAAACCCATGTAGGCATCTGCAATGAAGGAACAGTTGAAAATGTATCTGCAGTTTGGGAGTTTGGCAGTTTTGGGGATGTTTCTTACAGTCACTCCCTTACGTGAATTGATCCACTGTTAAGGCTTTCTCCTTTCCCTCCAGGTCTCTATGTCACAGTAGACTGCTTTTGCTATGGTCAGGATTTAGCTCCACACTACAATCCACAGACCTTCCACAAACTCTTTTATTTTAAACCTTTTACCTGCAGAGCTCCCGGCTCTAGTTTGATCTGTATTAATCTTCAGATGCTCCTACAGTTATTCTGCAGAAAATCAGAATACATGGAATAGTGATTTTTTTTTCCCCCTTAAAAATTAGGAAAATAGGAAACCATGACAGAGAGGAGGGAACATGTACCTGTTTATTTCGTTTCTTCCTAATGGATCAGAATACCATGTCAGCTGTTGAAATAATTTCAAATTTCAGCCTTACTTTACTTAGTTCAAGTTTATTTTCAAGTGACCTCATATGAAATAAATGTCAGTGTTGTGGAAGGGCTGGGTTGTTGCTAGTCTCATTTCCTTTGCTGGCTCCCAAGCTTTCTTCAGCAAGGGTCCTCTTGCTCCTGGAAAAATGGGTAGCATGTAATAGCACTTTGGAATCTGACAAAGGGACAAGGGATGATTGAATTGAATTTTAAGTCCCTAAACCTGTGAATCCTGGGTGTCTCAGAGGTATTTTCCTCAGAAGATGTTTCTAGCCATTGTATTTGTAGTTAAATCCTGCATGTTGCTGTAAAAAGGAGGAAATGTAATGAATTTCTGTATATAACAGATATATACATTTCTTCTTGTGACATGCAGTAGTAAAGATTATTTTGCTTATGTACCAAAAGAGAGAGAATGAGTTCCACTTTTCTTGGCAGCATCACAATCAGTTCATAAGTCTTTCAACCCTAACATACCATCCAACAATATTTCCTTTTAGTGCAGGTTTAGCATCTTGTCTATCTGGACATGTATGGGAGCAGGCCAGCAAGATGGTCTGTCCACTCCGGTTCTCTCACTGGATACAGATCCTACTTTAAGATGTTGAGTGAGTCCCACAAGAACCTACTGGAGAGAATTCAAAACAGAAACAAACCCATACTTTATTAGAGCTCAGATAGCACCTTCTTTTGCAGCAGGATATGTCACAGAGCTGTTTGTGCTGCTCTGCTATTAAGTATTCTGTATGAATTGATGCATTTCCAAAAAAACTTCCATTTGAGCGACAGTTTTATATGTTGTCTTTAAATTCATGATGAAACAGTAATAATTTAATCAGGTCTAAACATATTTATGTTAGAGCTAAATTAGAATGCCAGAGAACTATTCTTGTATTCTCTCCTTCCTTTCATGTTGTTGTGATATGCAGAATATTCAGACAAGGCTGTGTTACAAACAGTGTGTGGGAAGAGCTTTTGCATCAATAAAACTGTTGGCATCTGTTACAGACAGTGCCTGTGTTTGCAGTACCTATGGATGGCAGAAGGAGCAGTGAGGCAGCAGAGTAGGTGGAACTCCAGGTCACATAAAGGCACAAAGGGTCTCCTGAGAGCAAGTGATGGAAACAAAGCTGGGTATCAAGCACAGCCCTGCAGGGATCCTCTAACAAAAGGGAAAGTTGTAGATGAGCCTTCTCATTCTTATTCATCTTTCTCTCATTGTTCCAAGTGCTCTCCTTTTATTTATCCTGTTTGATATCCTTTCAAAACTGGTTCTTTTGCTGGTGTTTCAAAGCCTTTCAGTCATGTCAGACAAGTTCTCTGTGGGAGAAGATTCCAGGCAGATGCACCCCAAAGCAGTACTTTCTTCTAGCCAAATGCCATAGGGGGGCTGCTCAAAAAGTCCACATTTCTAATCTGTTTCTTTCTGAGTGTAGTGAAGTATTGCAGAGTGGGAGGAAAGTGGCAGCATGTTCACTGATATATAGTTCTTAAAGAAAATGATGCATGGCCCAGAACTACCTAAATTAGTAAGAAAAAAAAGTCCAATATTCCCTCAACTCTATCAGATTAATGCCCTCAATAAAAATAAATTTAAAAAAAATTATACGAAATTTTTAGGAAGCTTTCAGCTTTTCAGGTGCTGTTTTCATTGGCAGTGTAAGGAACAAGATCCCTTTCATCAAGGTCCCTTTTAAGAAATAGGAGTTTTCACAATGACTGTAGACAGTTTAACCAGCCCAGATAAGCAAAGTGGG